AAACACATCTTTTGTAGAGCAAAGTTTTACCATCACCCTCAGTCACCAGAGACTTGGTTCACTCAGTTGCTGCTCCTTTGAACAGAAAGATCTCCATTGGCTCTTTAGTAAATGCCTGATTTTGTGGGGAAAGTAGTGTGCACCCTTTGACATTTTTTTTTCCTGTGCCGCAATATTTTGCCACAGGCAAGAAAGTGGCAAAATAGAACAAAGCCCAATCTCTTCCCCTTGAACAAACATTCCTTTTGTAATGTTCCTTCGCTCCCAGACTTAATATCCTACATTTATCTTCTTTGAGCTGAATTTCTCTACTTTAACCTAGTTACATAAATGATCAAAGCCATCCTCTAATTCCTCTCATCTTTCCAGTCTCTGTCAGGGGTAAGCTCAAGAGCCTTTCTACACTAATTAAAAGAGAAGATACTATGTGAAACTTGTTTACCTTATAACTCATTCATTTAAATATAAACATAGCATCAATTTTCTCCTGATTATAATTCATTGACAATGTAAGGAATGTGATTTTAAGCATTTTATTTTTAAACATTAGAGTGTAGTCTCCTAATCTTAGCATTATTGATGTTTTGTGCTGGATAATCCTTTCTGGTAGAAGGTTGTCATGCACTCTGCAGGAATTTTAACAGCAGACCTGGCCTCTGCTTCATACATGCTCCTCCCCTCCTCTGCCCCTTTTCTGAGACAACCAAAAATGTATCCCAATATTGCCAAATGTCCCCTTTGGGTGAAAGAAACCTGGATTGAGAAAACAATATTTACCCCCCCTTTTTTTTTTTAATCTAGGAAGATGTAGCAGGCTGATGCAGCACTTCTTCCTTGAATATCTTAAAGGAAAAAAAAAAAACGGAACTTGGATTTTTGGTCAGACTTGATCTCTACTCTTTAGTCAGCTCCCAGAATATACTTAGGAATGTTTTCTGACAAAGTTTCTCATATGAATCTGTCACTACCTATTTTCATGCCCAATTCTTCACATGCTTCTTATTTTGTAAAAAAGTTTACAAAATCCATTTCAGACATGTAATATCACTGGATTTCCACAACATTAAGAAGTGGGTACTAATAGCCACGGGGGAGCACCAAGTGCTATGAAAAGAAATATTTGGAGGAAGACGGACGGGCTAGAGCTTCAGTTCTGGTACCACTATTTCCTGGCTCTGAAAACTGAGGCCAGTTTTTTAGCTTCAGTGCACCTCAGTTTCCTCATCTGGAATGTGGTATCATTAATACCTTGGAGTGATATTGAGAGAATAAAACAAGATGAGAGATATGACAGTGCTTCACACTAACAGAGGCTCAATCAGCTGTAGCTTTGATTATTATCACTCTGAGTCCAGAGTTTTGTGTGCTCACAGGTACATAGCAGCTCTCTCAATAGTGGCAGATTTTGCCCCTGTTCTGGCCACAGATCACTTTAAGAATCATCCAAACAAAAAAAAATTCTCATAAGCAACACAATTTGTAGACAATTTAAGGGATATTCACTGGTTCTCCTGAAATATATATTGGGTCCAAATAAAGAATTCCTCTAATGAGAGCCTTCTAATTTCAAACATCTTTTCTTCCAATTGACTCAAGTACGTTGTGCCAAATCTCCTTCCTTGCTCATTGCTTTAAAATGGAATCACCTGCTGTGGAAATAAAATGATTCCTATTTCCTCTAACCTAATGCTAGAGGAAGATGCTTGACCAGTGCATCACTGAAATATGTCTTTGGTTCTGTGAAGTAGAACCAGGCTTGTCGATTTCCCTTCTTCAACAGAAAAGCGGAAGAAGGGTATTTGGTAAAAAGGGATTCAGCATATCCAGTATGATTATGCACAGTATTAGTTTCCTATTACTATTGTAACAAATTACCATAAACTTAGCACAAACTTATCATCTTACAGTTCTGGAGGTTAAAATGGATCTCACTAAGCTAAAATCGAGGGGTGTACCATGCTACATTCCCTCCTGGAAGCTCTAGGAAAGAATCTAATTTTCCTGGGTTTTTTTCAGCTTTTTGAATCTTCCTTCATTCCTTGGCTCATGACCCCTTCCATCTTCAAAGCCCGCAATGGCCAGTTTGAATCTTTCTCCCATCAAATCCCTTTGGTATTCATTCTTCTCTTTCCCTTTTCCACCTTTAAGAACCCCTGAGATTACATCTCACTCATCAGGATAATCCAGGATAAACTCCTCATTTTAAGTTCAGCTGACTAGCAAACTTAATACCATATGTTACCATTCTCCTTTGCCATGTAATATAGAAATATTTAAGTGCTGGAAAAATCAGCACAGACATCCTTAAGAGGCTACTATTCTACCTACTAGAGTCAAACATCTTGGTGTCTTTAATGACATAGTAGGAATAAGTCATGTTATGAACCCTACGAACATATGCAATTTAGCAAACCAAGAAGTTGGCACTATTTTTGAGTCTTCACAATAACTATGTATATTTAGATAGTAATGTCCCCTTCAAAATTCCATATCATCTTTAAATAGAGTCCCTCAAAAGCTATACTCAATTCACACTTTTTCAGCAATCTGACATATTCCAATTCCTGATAACTTAGGTAACCGGAGAAATTCTTTAAAGTTCACTACACAAATGTCTTTGGTTAAGACAACTCACCTGTACTATGCAAAGAAGGTTGCAAATACAGACAGAGATACCCATGGAGACAAAATGAAGCCTGCATGAATCAGGAGGAGCTCAAAGGAAATCAAGGCATTGTTGGCAAAAGAAGATAAGGCTGCTCAGAAGCAACTGTAAGGGCTGCACTGCATATTCACCAGCTAGCTTGCAGCTCCACTGCTTCATGGCACCAATCTCTAGAAAGCCCCTCATTACAATCTTCTGCAAATCCAGCACCCTCATCTTCCGTATTCTCCTGGATCTTTTTGTTCATTTGCTTTTGTATTCCTCCAGTGGACCTGACTGACTTTGCCTCTGATTCTTGTTCCTTCTTTTTAAACCTTGATTCTTCCATTTTTAAAAAATTTTTAATGTTTTAGAGACATGTTCTGTTTCCCAAGCTGGAATGATCATAAACCACTGCAGTTTCAAACTACTGGGCTCAATTGATCCTCCCATCTAAGCCTCCTGAGTAGCTGAAATAAAGGCACCACCACCACACCTGGCTTGGTCTTTATTTAGCACCACTTACCATCATAAAAATGGTTTCCAGGTCATTTTCCTAACCATGTTTAACACAAGCCCCAATGCCCTTGGCATTTATTTGGATCTTAGTCATTTTTAATGTTTTTGCTGAACCAGTCTTCAAAAAAACTATTTCATGCCTTTTTTCTCCTTATATTAATCCATTCTCGCATTGCTATAAAGAACTACCTGAGACTAGGTAATTTATAAATAAAAGAGATTTCATTGGCTATACAGGAAGCATGGCTGCAGAAACTTAAAATTATGGTGAAAGGTGAAAGGGAAGCAGGCATCGTCTTCACATGGTGGAGCGGAAGAGAAAGAGAGCAAAGTGGGGAAGTGCTACACCTTATTAAACAACCAGATCTCGTGAGAACTCACTATCACAGGAACAGCAAGGGGAAAGTCAGCCACCATAATCCAATCACCTCCCACCAGGTCCTTCCTCCAACTTTAAGGATTACGTTTGACCTGATATTTGTGGGGTCACAGAGCCAAACCATGTCACTCCTTAAACCTCAAATGCCTCCTCCTCTATTCACAAATATTCTAGCCTCCTTTCTTCCCAGAGGCCTTTGACGTTAGATGTGGCAGTGTTACTTATTTGCCAATGATATGTAGACAAAAGGTCATATATTACTTCCAGAGACAGGCTTTAAGAACCAGAGTGCCACTTTTCTTTTTTCCAATTTTGGCAAAAGAGGGGCAAAGAAAGCCTCCCAGCTCCCTGAGTGAGGTTGGAGCAAGCAGCATCCTCTAACTGATCTGCAACAGACACTTAGCATGAGAGATATTTCTCTCTCAGAGAGAAATAAACCTTTGATGTGTTAAACTGCTGAGATACAGGAAATAAGGTGGTTACTTGTTACTATAACATCCCAGCCTCTACTTTGCTGCCTAATTTGGTGAGAAAATAGAAGCAATCGGAAAAGAACTTCTACAACCTCCCATAACCACACCTGTGACTGATTATTAGTCTCCATATATTCTGTCCTCCTCCAACAGTTGAATGAATTCTCCATATTCCTATCTAAAGCCAATCTTTTATATTGTACACTAGATGGGAACTACTTTTCCTTACTCAAGGCTGACATTCAAATATTTCTCTCCTTTGTCTCTTACATAGTCAATGCTTCCCTTTCTACTAGATCACCTCCATCGGTAAATAAACATACACAGTATCTCCTGTTTTAATCAGTTTAATCTCTCCGCTAGTTAACATCACCCAATCCCATCGCCAATGTGTTGAAATACTTGCTCCTATTTTCTTCAAAATTATCTTACTAGGTTCTGCTTGCCCCTCTACACTGAAAACTGCTTTTGTCAGAGTCATCAATAATATAAAATTTACTAAGTCTGGAAGTCAAATCTTGGTCCTTATCTGACGTAAGATTGACTTGGTTGACCATATTCCTTCCTTTTTGAAATTTTTTTTACATGGCTTCCAAGACACAATTATCTCTTAATCCTCTTCCTGCCTCACTGGCTGCTCCCTCTTGATCTCCCAAAGTCTAAATATTGGGGTTCAGCCCTTGGATGTCTTTTCTTCTTCATTCACACTCTTTTGCCCGGTGACCTCATTTAGTTTCATGGTTTTACACTGTCAACTGAAGAATCATGAGGTTCATAAATTTAGAAAGTAAGTGTCCAGTATGTGCCAAGCAAAGTGTCTACCGCTGGTGGAGCAATGCCCAACCAGCAGTCACCAAGGCCAGGAAGGTGAAGGTTGGACAGAAGGGCCTGAGAAAACCCTGAGAAAGCGGAGGAGGGGGAGGAGGAAGAAGAAGAGGAAAAGGAGAGGGGGAGGGGGAAGAGGAAGGGGGAGAGGGGAAGCGGAAGTAGGGGAGGAGGAAGAGGAAGAGGAGAGAGTTGGGAAGGGGAGAAGGAAGAGGGGGCAGAAGGAAGAAGAAGACGGGGAGGAGAAAGAGGAAGAAGGGGAAGAAGAGCGGGAAGGAAACAAGTGGGAGGAGGAGGGAGGGGAGGGGCTTCTCCGCGCCTGCTCCTCCCAGCCGGGATCCGCGGCCGCATGGCTGCGGTCTCCTCCGCGGGCTTCTCGGGCCCCGGGGCTCGTTCCCTGCTGCGGTTCCTGCGGCTGGTGGGGCAGCTCAAGGTGAGCGGGCGGCGGGCCGGAAGGCCGCGGCCGAGCGGGCGGGACGGGGAGGCGGCGCAGCTTCCGGCTCCCGGCCCGGCCCGCGGCCTTTGCCCTTCCCGCGCCGGCCCGCCATGCCGAATTCGGGAAAGGCGCCGGCTTGCGGAGGCCTCCGGGACGCGTGCACCAGACGGTGGGCGGGGAGGCCGGGCCGGGTGGGGCAGCGCGGACGGAGCCCGGAGCCCGGAGCCCGGAGCCGCTAGGGCCGCCACTCACCACCCCAGAACGCTGTGTGTGTGTGTGTGTGTGTGTGTGTGTGTAGAGCGTGGCTCACGACCCCAGAACGCTGTGTGTGTGTGTGTGTGTAGTGTGTGTTTGTGTGTATGTGTGTAGAGCGTGGCTCACGACCCCAGAACGCTGTGTGTGTGTGTGTGTGTAGTGTGTCTTTGTGTGTATGTGTGTAGAGCGTGGCTCACGACACCCCAGAACACTGTGTGTGTGTAGTGTGTGTTTGTGTGTATGTGTGTAGAGCGTGGCTCACGACCCCAGAACACTGTGTGTGTGTGTGTGTGTGTGTGTAGTGTGTCTTTGTGTGTATGTGTGTAGAGCGTGGCTCACGACACCCCAGAACACTGTGTGTGTGTAGTGTGTGTTTGTGTGTATGTGTGTAGAGCGTGGCTCACGACCCCAGAACACTGTGTGTGTGTGTGTGTGTGTGTAGTGTGTGTTTGTGTGTATGTGTGTAGAGCGTGGCTCACGACACCCCAGAACGCTGTGTGTGTGTGTGTGTGTAGTGTGTGTATGTGTGTAGAGCGTGGCTCACGACCCCAGAACGCTGTGTGTGTGTGTGTGTGTGTGTGTGTGTGTGTGTAGAGCATGGCTCACGACCCTAGAACGCTGTCTCTGTGTGTGTGTGTGTGTGTCCCCACAACTCTGTGTGTGTGTGTGTGTGTGTGTAGAGCGTGGCTGCTTCTGCAGATTTTAAGTGGAGTGCTTTACCTCTGTTTCACAGTTGCATCCCAAAACAAGACTTTTCTCCCCCCAAACCCCCAAACAGGATTTAATGTAACACACTGGAGTTTGTTTCATCATGTGTGTCTTCCACGTCTCTCTCCCAAGTTCAAAGCAAATTATCTGTTTCATGCCACTCTACTATTTATAACATTCTTTAGAGATGTAGAATTCTGAGGAAGAAATGCAGTTTCACAAGGTCAGGTTATGGTGTGAATAAAAGGAAGGGTCACGGCTATTGGTAGCATCAAGCAATGAGAAAGAGTCATGACTTAACACGGAATGAGAAGTGCCTTTATCCCGTGTGGATCAGAATTTGGAAGTCTATCACTCGTTCAAGTTCAAGCTTTTAGCACAGTGTTTTCTGCTTGTATAGGATTGTTTGAAGACAAAAAGCTGCAACTCTTGTAGTTAGGAAAAATGCAGTTTTATTTTTATTTAAAGGACTTGCATATGCTCCGTAATTATACACCAGTAACAGTAATTTGATGAATGGACTTTGTGACTTACCTCTGTCTTCTTTTTTTATTCTGAGTTCTCTAGTTTATTTGATTCCAGATGTCTATCATTTTAGTTTAGCAAAACATTTTGTAATAGGCTTCTGTGTGTTATATGCTGGACATCTCTTGAAGAGCATAACAGATAGTTAATATTGGTTTCTTAAACCTTTTTCATATTTATCAGAGAGTCCCACGGACTGGCTGGGTATACAGAAATGTCCAGAGGCCAGAGAGCGTGTCAGATCACATGTACCGAATGGCAATTATGGCTATGGTGATCAAAGATGACCGTCTTAACAAAGACCGGTAAGCTGAGCTGGATTTTGATGCTCATGAGGGATTCTGGTCTATGGGTATACACTCATTTTTACCACTGAGTCCTGTGTCGAATCCTTGTAGGTTAGTTTATAGGTCAAGGAAAATGAATTTGAAGCAAACCATACAAATTTAGGATGTGGGAAGAGGAGCTCATTGTTGATTGCCTCAGTTGTAAACTGCAATCTGGGTTTTCTCTTGGCAAGTGATAGAGCCTGCTTTGGGTACCAGAGGAAGCTTGAGAGTGATATTGGGGCCTTGAAGGTGAGTGTGTTATGTCTAAAATTCTAGCATTGTAATAGTACACTACGTGCTCTTTTCTAGTGCCTTTTATGGATAGTAAAATCCATTTGTGAGATTTCTTTCTAGAGTTGTATGTGCCAGATATAGCTGAGAAAGAGGTATCCTCTCCCCCTTCATTCAATCAACAAGTGTTAAAATGCTTTTTGAGCACAGAACAAAAGTTTACTAGCATATTAGAGAGTAAGGTGAATTACACAGGCCCAAAATACCTTCCACATGAAGTGAAACATAAGGTATGGTGGAAACAGTAAGTACTGTAAGAGTAGGAGAGATCACCTGTTCTTGATTGATCTTAATGGAAGAGGTGCAATGTGAGTTGAGCTCTAAAGAGTTAACCTAGGTAGAGAGGTAGAAGGCCCTGCAAGCAGAGAGAAGGGCAGATAAAGCAAGGCCCTGAGTATAGGAAAGTAAAGGAGTATTTTACAAATGAGAAATAAATTAACCTGATTGCAGCAAATGGTTCACTGGGGAAAACTGAGGAGTCCTGTTACTCAGCATGTGGTGTGGAACTGAGGAGGTTTTTGGCAAATAGTACAAGATGAAAGTGAAGTCCAGAAGAAGTGCAGTTGGGAGTAGTCTGGGATTCGAACTGGACCAGAAAGAGACTAGAGGCAGGGAAATCTCAGAGGACACTCTTGGGCCTTGTACTGCCTTGGTAGTGTGGGAGCCTAAAGGAGACTACCCATATGGGGCATTTCTCTCATTACATCCTGTTTTGATAATGACGATCACAGCCAGTATTGATTAATCACCAATAATCATAACCACTTGTTGAATGATTCACATGTGTTCAGGAACATGAAAGCTGTCAAATATAATTTTTTTTTTTTTCTGAGACAGAGTCTCGCTCTGTTGCTCAGGCTGGAGTACAGTGGTGTCATGTTGGCCCACTGCTACCTCCACCTCCCAGGTTCAAGTGATTTTCCTGCCTCAGCCTCCTGAGGAGCTGGGATTACAGGTGTGTGCCACCACACCCGGCTAATTTTTATATTTTTAGTAGAGGTGGGGTTTTGCCACATTAGCCAGGCTGGTCTCAAACTCTGGACTTCAGGTGATTCACCCAACCCGGCCTCCCAAAGTACAGATATTACAGGCGTGAGCCACGGCACCCACCCTAGTTTTAACCCTTTAAATAAGATTTCAGAAACCAACCGTTTAAGAAATTCATGCTAACAGTTTCCGCTACACTCACATGTATTTTATTGAATATGAACTAACAGTTTTTATCAGAACTGTTGTAGGCTGGCAGAATGTAACTGCTTTAGAAAATATTACATTAAAATACTCTATGAGGGGGGAAAGAAAAAAAAAATATATATATATATAAATGTAACTTTGGAAGAATATAGAGAAGGAACTTGTAGTGAATATAATTCTGTGTAATTATTCAACATTTCTTGCCTGGTCAGATGTGTACGCCTAGCCCTCGTTCACGATATGGCAGAATGCATCGTTGGGGACATAGCACCAGCAGATAACATCCCCAAAGAAGAAAAACATAGGCGAGAAGAGGTCAGTGTTGACTGTTGACTGTGCAAAAAACCACCAGAAAAACCTGTTGCTGAAGCAAAGCTAAGTTTATGAGAACTGTTGCAGTTAGGGAGAATACCACCTTGATAGTCTTACTAGTGTCTCAGAAGGGGAAGGTCAGGGGAGGATACTTTTTAGAGTTTCAGGGCCTGGGTTAAAGAGTGTACAGATAGATCTGACAAGTTAGGCAACTAGCTAGGATTTCACAGTTTAGGACATAATAGATATAGATTGGTAAAGATAATGAAAGAGGGTCGTAATGAGTTTTAAAGAGTAAACTGTTAGTATTGACTCTGTTTTAGAGAGTTTACAGCCTATCTTCCAGAGGCAGGGATTTCCTGGAGTAATCAGCAGGTTGGATTTTGCTTGTTGTTAGTCTGTTCTTTTGTATCTTTTTTTTTTTGAGACAGAGTTTCGCTCTTGTTACCCAGGCTGGAGTGCAATGGCGCGATCTCAGCTCACCGCAACCTCCGCCTCCTGGGTTCAGGCAATTCTCCTGCTTCAGCCTCCTGAGTAGCTGGGATTACAGGCATGCACCACCATACCCAGCTAATTTTTTGTATTTTTAGTAGAGACGGGGTTTCACTATGTTGACCAGGATGGTCTCGATCTCTTGACCTCGTGATCCACCCGCCTCGGCCTCCCAAAGTGCTGGGATTACAGGCTTGAGCCACCGCACCTGGCCTCTTTTGTATCTTTTATAAAGTAATACCCAAGGCTAGGTACTTTTAATTTAATTTAATTTTTGTGTGTCACTTCCACTTATAAGTAAGAACATCTAGTATTCAGTTTTCTGTTCCTTTGTTAATTTGCTTAAGATTATGGCCTCCAGCACCATCCATGGTGCTGCAAATGAAATGATTTCATTCTTTTTCATGGCCACATAGTATTCCATGAGCTGTGTATATAATATATATATCTATATATCTATATAACATTTTCTTTAACCAGTCTACCAGTGATGGGCACCTAGGTTGATTCCATGTCTTTGCTGTTGTTAATAGTACAGCAGTAAAGATATGAGTGCATGTGTCTTTTTGGTAAAATGATTTATTTTCTTTTGAGTATATACTCAGTAATGGGATTGTTAGATTGAATAGTAGCTCTGAATTCTTTGAGAGAACTCTAGACTGCTTTCCATAGTGGCTGGACTAATTTACATTTACACCAAAAGTGTATAATCATTCCCTTTTCTCCACAGCTTTAGCAGCTGTGGAGAAAAAAAAAAAGTCTTTTTTTGACTTTGTAATAATAGGCTGAATAACTTACAAAGAAAAGAGGTTTAATTGGCTCATAGTTCTACAGGTTGTGCAGGAAGAACATTGCCAGCTTCTGCTCCTGTTGAGGGCCTCAGGAATCATGGAATCCTCAGAAATCACCTTCCAATCATGATGGCAGGCAAAAGGGGAACAGGTACATCACATGGCAAGAGCGAGAGCCGGAGAGAGCGTGGGGAGGAGCCACACTCTTTGAAACAACCATACCTCATTTGAACTAATTGATCAAAAACTCACTCATTACCAAGGAGATGGCGTTAAACCATTCATGAGGGATCCATGCCCGTGATCCAGTACCTCCTGCCAGGCCCTACTTCTGACACTGTAGATCACATTTCAGCCTGATATTTGGAGGGGACAAACATCCAAACCCTGTCACTTGTGTCAGCCTTGTTAACACAATAATAGCGGTGTATGTCTGCACCCAGCTTTGTTTAACACAGGGACAGAAGATTATGTTGGTTTCAGTTCTCATTAGTATGTAGATGTAAATAGTATAGCTTTCATTAGCATAATGGAAATAGCTGGAACTTAAATGAATTAGTAGGAATTCTCCATGCTAGATAAGCTTTTTGGAGAGAAGTTCTATAAATCATACATCTAATCATTATTATAATTATTATTTAGTACATTTTAAGTTACTCCTTTAACTTAGGGGCTGAAGGTAAAGAAAAATGAAATACTTGTATTAGAAAGAAAGAAATAACATCAATAATATATTAAATTAATGTCAATTTGGACCAGAGCCTATGGCAAATGAGGAAGACGTGTTTGAAGCAGAAGTTGGAAAATGAAGTAAGCCTTTTTTTTTTTAATGCTGACTTGGTTGGCTTTCAATTCAAGAATTATTGCTAGCTATTTTTATTAGAGGCCTGAGAGATTGGTCCTAAATTGCTAAGCAATAGGAGTCTTTATTGAGATGGTTTAACAGGGCAAGTGGGCTTACGTGTCTATTCTCAGAGCTGGGGAGACTGGAGCTCAGTAGCCACCAGGATTTTTGCCCTCTAAAGGTAAGAAGAACCACAAGGAACGAGAGTCCCAGTTTAAGAGTTTCCAACCCACCCAAACCTGTAGGCGCAAGGGGAATGGTATAAGGAATGTGTTCTTCCTGCCTAAGTATAGGTCCAAATACAGGCTGACCGAGACAGGAAAAGGGGAGGCGTCTAAGGAAATGTTTGTTTTCATGAATCTGTACTGCCATAAATAAAGAACTGTTCTGTTAACTGGCAGAATTAATATAAAAAGAAACCAATTAGCTCGAGATTCTGAGTTGCAGGAAGGAATTGGCATCTGAACCAGAGGATGGTGAGTAATGAGGTGTAACATAGAGGGAAAGGAAGGGAAACAATTCCTCAATTATACAGCTCATTGCAGGATAGTTTTATTCAAGGGTAAATTAAATCTGGACATTGTGGATGAGAAAATGATATTCTAAAGTACTGGTGGGTCATCAAAGACCTTAAAGTGAGGAGAAGGCAAGGAGAAATGAGACCCAAAGGAAAAAGACTTCCCTTTGGAAGCACAGTGAATTTGAGATTCACTCCACAGAGAAGCAAGTCAAAGCCTTCTGGAGAAGAACCAGTCACTGTGAACCATCTCCAACAACTGGAGGAAGACCTATGACTGTCCCTGTAAGAGCTGAGTCCTGACTGGTAATACCCCATGCACAGGCACAGAGGGGGCCTGAGCAATCAGAGAGGGGGTTGCTGCCTTCCAGTATGTTGTATCCTGGCTTTGATGAAAAACCTTTCCAGCTTCATTAACCTTCCTGACTGCTGCCCACTCCTGCTGATTCACAGGGGAATAAATGTCATAAGCAGAAGGCAATGGGGAAACATCTTAAAGAACCACAAGTTCTTGGACAAGAAACCAAAGGCTTGGAGAGCACTGATGTTCTGTTGCCTCTTCCTGCTGCTGGTCAGGATTTGGGAACGGAGAAGAAAATCTGGGAGGTGAACAATTCTTTATGCAGATGGTGTTTATGAACAAGGTTTGGATGTCTGAACCATGCATTAAGATAATTAAATGAGAGTTTCTTGGCTCTGGGTGTAATTTGCCTAATGAGAACCAGGAAACCTCATTTGCCCTTGCTGGCTGGATCAGCGAGCCTGTAAACTGAAGTAGGAGGGAGAAAAAATATCGTGGTCCCTCAGTATCTATGCGGTATTGGTTCCAGGACCCCCATAGATAACCAGATCTGCAGATGCACAAGATAAAATGGTGTCATATTTGCATATCACCTGCACATATCCTCTCATAGACTTTTTCATCTCTGTGTTACTTACGATACCTAATATAATGCAAATGCTATGTAAAGAGTTGATAACTCTGTATTGCTTTTTATTTGTATCTTTGAATTTTTAAATTTATGGTTGGTTGAATCCATTAATGCAGAATCCACAGATGTGGAAGACGAACTGTGCTCGATAAACCTAGAGGGCTGATTGTTTTGGAGAAAAGTAGGTATGAAGATGAAAGAGAGAGTGAGGGCATAAAAGAAACAAATTTAGAAAGGGAGCCAAAAGCAATACTTATATCCTGGCTCCCTTCCTAAACATATTAACATACACTTAATATTATAATGCAAGTTGACAAATGAGGTCTGATAAGGATCACCACGATCTAGTGAGATGGAACTTGAAGCTGGAATACAGCAGCACTAGGTCATATTCCTCTGTGAAGGGAAAACCTTATTGAACAGAAGGCAGAGTTGTGGTATGCCTGTGTGTCTGGGAAGGTCAAAGTTGCTAAAATACTAGGAGATTACAAAGAGAATGGAACCTTACCCAGAGTGAGCATGGCAAGAAGGAGAAAATTAAAAGCATAACAAACATTTATAGAGTGCTTATTATGTGCCACATTTGTAAAGTGCTTATTATTGGCACATAGTAAGCATTTTATTTATATTAACTGCTTAATCTTTAATGATCCTCTTAGGTAGGTACCATCATTTAACCCCACTGTGTAGATGAGAAACCTGAAGGACAAAGAGGTCAAATGACTTGCTCAGGGTTCCACAGCTAGTATTAAACCCAGTGAGCTGGGTTTGAAACCCAATCTAGATCTAGTCTTCAGTTGACTACTTTACTGTTCAGCTTTATCAGTGTCTGAATGATGAATAATACCTTCCAGATACTTGTCACAAAACTGACAAAAAATATTTGCTGAAAGCTTCATTCAGCTCAGCACTTCAGGCAGATTTTTGACATATTTTGCTAACAGAGGAAGAGGCTAGGGAAGCTGTCACTCTATATCTATGTCTGAACAACAAAGTAAAATTCAGTATAGAAGTGGAAGTGTCAGGGCTCATCGCTTGCCAGGAAGGGAAAGGCTGGCATACTCAGCTGTGTACCCTGGACCTCAGCCATGTTGATTTCACAGGGTTCAATTAAAAAGGTAGGCATAATTCTGGCATATGCTGCCAAACAAAGAATATTAACTCTCTGCAAGATTTGAAAAATGCAATTCTGATTGTGTGATAACAAATATCAATCAGCCTAGATTCAGAAAATAATTGTTCAGTTTCAGGAAGAGAGCAACAACATATTTGCTGTTTTGTTTTTTAAAGAACATGGTGATTTTGAACTACAAGAAGCGTATTAATAACTTAGTAATTGGATGTGATCACCAAAAAGCCAATTCAGTCCTACACTGCACTTTGAGGAATATAGTATCTAGCATTAGGAAGGTGATGATTCCATTTTCTTCCACCTTGGTCAGATCATACACTATATTCAGTTCTAGGTGCATCATTTTAAAGAGAATTAAATAGTCTCTTTTCAGAGCAGGACTTTTAGATTTCCATTCTAAAGTTTAAATTTTCATATACCTGTATGTACATATGATTCAGTTAATTCTTTGCAACTGGAAGTAATTGGGAAACTTGTGTTTCTGGAATAGTATGGAGAAAAACAATCTATAAAGGCAGTTAATTTATGAAAATATAAAGTATTTTTCCAAGTATTCTTGCTGAAATATATGAGAAAGAAACAAGGGCAAATGCATGTACAGTGTACACTAAATTTCTTTCTACTAAGGGTAGGGCAGTGCTATGGCTCTAACTGAACAAGCTATTCAAGATGGGGATGTTTTTTATAGGACTGGATTGTTGATATTGGCAAATGTGGTTTATTCTGGAAGTGGTTGTATTCTGTAACGTTGTCTTCCTCCCAGTAATAAATAAACATATGTTTTCATTGCTTTCCCGCAACTCACTATTTTATTTTATGTAAGACCTTTATGTTGCCAAAAATGGTTTTTACAGCCATTTTCTGTTCAAGGAGCCTAACCTCTGTGGTCAGAAGAACTGAGGCTGATTAAAAGGTACAGAAGGTGGTGAAGGAATTGGAAGCCTTTTAATAGTACTGGAGTGATTCAGAAATAAAGGAAGGATACTGGAGTAACTCATAAATAAAGGAGGAGACTGGGGAATAAGGGTAACTCCTGGGATCTTTGGGACTAGAAAGTACAGAAAGCCTAGAAGTACAGGACACCCTCTACTGTCTTACTTCATCTCTGCTTTTCTTTAGGTTTTGGCTAACTCTCAGGCTTCTCCTTGTGGCGGGAGATGTGGCTTCTCTCCTAGCCTCTGCTTGACAAATGCAGATGGCCCCTGAGTGGCCTGGTTTGCGTTACAAGGCTATCCCTTGGCCCAGTCACTGTGGCCACAGATCATCTCACCCAGTGGGGCCACTGTCCGCCTGTTTGACATTGTGTTTGTGAATGAGAGAGGAAAGCAGGAGCCATGGGTTAGGTGTGGTAGAAGAACTACAGGGAAATTTTTCAGCTTAATGTAAGAAAGTAATTTCTGTCAGTACTGCCTCCAGCCATGTGGGCAGTCTCTTGAGGTACTAGGCTCCCTACCATTCCACACATTTGTGGAAAGAGGATAGAAGTGTTCAGTGATGCTATTGAAGGCTTCAGATGCCACATGGATGGTTTAGTTAATTGCTGTTTAATATTCCTTTTCAGCCTATGAGTCTGTGAGCCTACAAAATTCTATCATGTAACTTCCTTTATGTTAATGACAATAATTGCCCATTTGTATTGTACATCTTGCAATAAAAACATTGACAATAGAAAATGAATATACAGAACATCTCTTTGAGCTTTGTAATTCAGTATTCCTTTCCCATTTTCCCCATTCAGATTTGTTTTGAACTCTCATATGCTTATGATTAAAATGTCTGTGGGTATGTTGTGATTCATCCACAGATGTAAAATCCTTGAACACCCCTGATATTTCTATAATTGTCTCATGACCTCGTCTTTGCCCTTTTCTATATCTGTTGTGTTGTAGACCACAAAATAGGTGCTAGGCAAAGCCCATATGAATGATTATACTTAACTTATTTAAGGTGTACAACTGCCTGCCTTTCTTATAAGCTATAAATATTGTCCAGTAGAGGCCGATTTACTCTGCTGCCCCTGTGGGTGGTGTTTGTAAGAATCCGAACCTATTTGTCTTTTGCAGAGTAGTTGTTAACTTTGATAAATGTCCGTATAGTTAAAGTAATGGTTTGATATTTCAGGAAGCTATGAAGCAGATAACCCAGCTCTTACCAGAGGACCTCAGAAAGGAGCTCTATGAACTTTGGGAAGTAAGTATATATGAGGCGTTAATTTGTTTTTAATTTATAACTTAATTTATACGGCTCCCTGATGTTGTAGTTGACTTAGATGATCTTAACAAGCGGTCTCTAACTTATTACTATCTGGTTTGTGTCTATTTCTCACCTCCCAGCTGCTGCAGAAATTTCTCCTGATTGATAGAAATTTTGTGTCCTTCCAAGTTCCCCATTTCCCTTGCCACCCCAATGCCTGGCGCATGACTCACAGCACTGGATTTCTTGCTGCTTTGCCCACACCTACCCATTTTTGGTCCTTGAAAAGAACATGGACTTGGGGTAGTTCAGAGCTAGGATTGAATCTTACCTCTCCACTTTGTGGTTCTGCAACCTCTGCATGTTTCCCTTGCTGAGTCTCTTGCTCATCTGTTAGACCCTGGAGGGTTGCTAGGGTTGAATGAGGTCAAGGTGAAGTGCCACAGAGATGCCTGGCATGGAACAGGGCTCTACCAGTGCTCACTCCCTTCCCAGAGCTGCTGACAGCGAAGGGAGGTTGGGCTGGAAAGAAAGGGCAGGTTGAGCGGTTTTTTCCCCCATTGCTTCCCTCTCCTGCTGCTGTCTTTCATTTGTGAAGGAAAAAAAAAAATCTCCCTTTCCAATTACAGTATCTGTCTTCCAGCCAGTCCACACTGGCCCTTCCTTGCTTGAGCCCTAAGCCTCCCCTTATTCTTGGATAGCCTTGCCTCCCACTCTCACTTTTCACATTTTCTTCAAATTCCATGTTCATCCTCCTGTCTTACAGCTTGATCTTCCACCTTCCCTTTCTACACACTCAGGCCCCTTCCTGCTTCTCCTCTCCGCTGAATCCCAAAGCTGGCAAGTTTCCTATCTTAACTGCCTCATGTGCTGGTTCAGGCCCTCCCTTGTCTTAGGAGTGAGAGGGGAAGTGCCCAGGGTAGAAACCCTGCACAGCTCCTTCTCCTAGAAATGCCATGTCACACAGCATCAGATTCTGTGTGGCACTGTCATTCTCTGTGGTTTGGGTTGATTGTGGGATGAAATAGCCATTTTAAGGCATTCAGGTGTGGTCCAAAGCCTTGTAGCCAGAGAGACCTGAGTTTGAATTCCAACTCCTGTTTACACACCTGTGTGTGCTATTCTACTCTATTTAACCTCATTTTCTCCTCTAGCAAATGAGAGTCATACAGGTTCCCACACCTTTATTCCCAGTTATAAAATTCAAAAAGCTCAGAGAACCAGTTTTTAGAAAACTTGACCTGACCTGAACTCATTAGGCAGCAAATCTTACCTGAACCAACATGAGGCTATTTAGAGTCCTCTTCCATCCTTCTTGATGTGAAAATTAATATGCTTTGATTGAGAAATCTTCATTTGGCAACTGAGTGCTCTCCAAGACCTCACTAGAGGCGGGACTTAGTATATACCGTATGTGCCATTATTTTTCTAAAATAAGAAAATGCTGAAACCTGAAAGCTGTGGCCCCAGGGTTTAAGATGAGAGATTGTAGGCCTTCAATGCCTATCTCTTTGAATAATCATGAAAATTAAATCTGGCAAAATATGTGTGGTATCTAGCTTGGAGCCTGAGTCAGATGGTACATGTTACTAGGTATAGCAGGGTTTCTTTAGAGAAGTGTGCCTCATCTCAAAGTATATACTTTGAAATGCACTTTCAGAACGCTCCTTATATGCTGGGAAAATAATGGAGTGGAGTTAGGTTGCATCTCATCCATAAAGAAAAAAAAAATTGCACCTGAGTTTATGAAACTAATTTCATGCATTGTCTCCTAAGGGGGAAACACTCTTGTATTGATAATTTGAAAAACTTTTTCAATAATTTGTACCTTTATGCCTAATTATTGTAAATATGGTGGTAGTTATCTATTAAATTATTTTCTTAGCCAGAAACTTTACTGAAAAATTTACTGTAGTATCTTCCAGAGATAAATGCTACAAAAGCTGTTTACAGTGGCTTTGGATTTGAATAAGTATAAAACACAGAGAATTAAAACATTTGATAACCCCTAAACAGGTAACAATTTCACTATCTTATAAATGTCGTTGGTTGAATTAATGAAGCCTAATAAAGATTTTTCTTTAAAAGCGCTGAAGGAGGCTTCTTCCTTGTCTCTTTTTAGCTTTTGGTCATCGCAGTCCTTGGCTCACAGACGCATCACTCCAGTCTCTTCTCTGTAGTCACATGCTGTTGACCCTATGTCAGAATCCAAGTCCAAATTTCCGTCTATTGAATAAGGATCTACTCTGTAATCCAGTATGACCACGTCTTAACTTGACCACTTCTGTCAAGACCCTATTTCCAAATAAGGTCACATTCACAAGCCACATTTACAGATTATAGGTCGACATGAATTTTTCAACATAGTATTCAACACAGTACAAGTTTCTTTAATAATTTATGCATTTTGTACTTCATGTCTAATGTTAGTGCCTAACCTTCCGACTTCCAGGGTTCAAATAGTGGCTCCCCTGTTTACTAGCTATGAGATCTTGAGCAATTTACTTAATCTCTCTGTGCCTCAATTTCCTCATCTGTAAAATAACAGTTATTATGGGGTTGTAGGAATTAATGTAATTAAAATACATAAAGCAATTAGGATACTGCCTGTCACGTAGTAAGCTCTATTTTTCTGTGTCTCCAGTCCATGTATCCTGGTTTTGGGTTTAAGAAAATAGGGTCATTCTGTACCCATTGAATTTAAAATAGCATTAGTTACGTAGGAAAATGACATTTGATTGATTTTGGAAATGATGCTAATTACAACTATCACTTTAGAATATTTCTCAGCCCAGAGGATCATAACTATTTAAAACCATTAAATATCCTTGATTATAATTTATCTTTTATCATAGCAGGTGAAATCACATTTCACCAAGCCAAGAAAAAAAGAAAAATCAATATTTTTTTCTGAAAGTATCACAGAAATATATCTGCTCTACACCTGCATTTTGCCTTAAAGAAATGTTCTTTTGAGCCCCAAGGCCTGAGGACAGCCTCTCCCGCCTGTGAAATGCCTAGCACACCCCACCATCCTTGGATTGTTTCTAACCCCAAGTTTTCTCTCCACATTGTCAAAAGTTCAGTCTATTGGAGATACAGTTAGATTAACAAGTAGACTTTTAAAAATGTCTCCCCGCATTCATTCTTCAAAGTACAGGTAGGGGTTGATGTAGAGCAGCATGAGGACCCCAGGACCCTGGAGGGAGAGTCACTAGGAGGTCAGAGAGGGGAAGATGCAAAAGATAAATTTCCAAGAGATCGGCACTTCACTCTGGGCCAACCTTTCCCCCAGGAAGAAGGAAACGTATAATCTTCCTGTTTTCCTCTCCTCTGCCTATTTAGTCCTCTATCTTCAGGACCTAGAACTTGAATCTCCATCCTGCTTGGATGTCCCTCTGTTGCTCTTTAAACTCCAATCTGAGTCATTTGGTCATGTGTCTTCTCCAGTCCTATCAGAAGGCTGTAGAACACTGATATGGGGACCCTCCCTACCATAGGGACTGGGGTCACAGCCACCCTGGCGTCCAGGCTCTGCAGAGCCTCAGGGCTGCCAACACCCCATCAGTGGGCTGCTAGTCACTTCCCTACCCCTCTGTCCCCCTCCCTTATCTCTGCCCCACATCAGCTATTCAGTTTTCTCTTCAAGCATCTATCTTGCCACTTCTCTCCTGATTTTATAGCAAATAATCTTGCCTCTTCCATCTCTGAGAACATAGACACTGTCCGATAGGAAGTTTTCCAGTTTTTTGGAGCTTTGCAAATATGTTCACACGACCCTATTTTGGAATAAATTTCCCTGGGTGCCACATTTCCCTACTTCCCTCCACAACTAAATAGGTAAGAAGTTAACTGCACTCCGTGACTCTGCTTCCTCACAGCCACCACGGTGTGACTGATAGGCCCACCAGGCACTGCTCTTGCTAAGGTCATAGGCGGCCTTCATGTGGCTGGATCCAGCAACCTCACTCTGCCCATGTGCTGCCTGATACTGGCTGCATGGGGTGTTGTCACTCGCTGCTGAAAATCTCATCCCTCAGGTCGTGACTTTGCCCTCTCCTGGTTTTCTTTGTGCCTTTCTGGCTGTTTCTTTTGAGTTTCTTCAAATGTTCCTCTCCTTCATCCTTCATCTTTAGAACCTGTGTCTATCTCTCAGGGCCAAGTCCTTGGGCTTCTTTTCTCTCCACACCCCTCCTGTGCTTCAGCGATCGTGTGCTGATTGCCCCATACGTTCTCCTGAAAAACTTTCCTCCTAAGCCCCAGACATACAAACCCAGCAGCCTCCTAAACAGCTCTACCTGATCATCCACAGGAACAGCTTCACGGCTGTGCCTGTTCTCTTCTGCCATTTTTAGTATTTTAAACCCTTTTATTGAGAAATAAAATACTCAAAACCATGCAAAAACCCAAGAGTAGCATAATGAGTTATTAGAAAGATAACTTTCAGGCGGGTGGATCACGAGATCAAGAGATCGAGACCATCCTGGTCAACATGGTGAAACTCCGTCTCTATTAAAAATACAAAAAACTAGCTGGGCGTGGTGGCACGTGCCTGTAATCCCAGCTACTCAGGAGGCTGAGGCAGGAGAATTGCCTGAGCCCAGGAGGCGGAGGTTGCGGTGAGCCGAGATCGTGCCATTGCACTCCAGCCTGGGTAACAAGAGCGAAACTCCGTCTCAAAAAAAAAAAAAAAAAGAAAGAAAGAAAGATAACTTTCTTCTAATTACAATTCAGGTAAGATTTAGAACTTTTTCATTCACCCCAGAATCTCTTCCCTGTGCCTCGATCCAAACACCCTCCCCCTGACAAAAGTAACCACTACCCTGGTTTTCACAGATATCACTAGAATGTCTTTAAGGCTTAAATCACTTAAGTATTCATTTCTAGATATTTTAGTTTAATCATGCTCACTTTTTTTTTAAAGCTTAATGTCTTTTAAATTCCCTTTAATCTACTGTTTCCCCCTCTATCTCTTTCTTTTTCTTATAATTTGCCTG